GTTAGCAGACAAGATTAACGGTTTTCACCTTTTTCCTCTGTTTTCATCCCGCAGATGGATAATCGGTATGACATTATTTATCTGTTTATTCCACATTAATAAGTTAGATGTTCGCAGTGTAGCGTAGAGTTATAAATAAATGTAGAAAGTAGCTGTTTTGTGTTTTTTGTTTTTTTTTCCCCCCTAAAGCTAACGTCGCTAGCCTGTTAGCTGCCTGTTAGCTGGAGGCCGTTATAAAAACAGAAAGTGTGTGAAAGTGAACACTGTTGAACTCATCTGCCTCCTCCTCTGTCGACAGCTCGGACGTGTCACAACAAGATTAGAATCAGCTGATGTTTGTTTGTGTCAGACACGTTAGCTTCAGGTTAGCTTCAGGTTAGCTTCAGGTTAGCTTCAGATCAACAACACGATGAACTTTCAGAGCAAATATATCCGAAATAAACTCGTCCTGAGGTTAAAATATGAACCTTTTCTGTGGCTGAACACCGTGAATATTACACTGTATGGCGACACACAATAATATCAGATTACTCTAAAGAAAATGACACTTAAACTTATATTTTGTTAATAAACACATATATTTATAACATCTCTGAATTAAAATCACGATGATGTGACATTTGTTGCGTAGTGTCAAATAAAGCTCCACAATTAATCCCAATATTATCCAAAAGAAGTACAAATCCAAATCACAGAAGCTGCAGTTTAAAAAAAAAAGGTGAAATGTGATAAAACAGCTTTATAATAATAAGATTTTCAGCACTAAACTGCTTCGTTATAATGCTGTTTGCTCACTCGTTTATTGCTGCTGTGTCATATTCAGGTGTGTCTGTCTGTAATCTGTTTATCTGTTAACTGTTAGTTGTTTCTGACTGTTGTTGGTCGACTTTATGTCTCTTTATTAATCGTAGAGCAAAATAAACTAAAGTCATATTTCAGTCCTTGAAGTTGTTGCTTTAATCTTTCTGAATATATTTGGACACAAAGATTTATTGATTAATTGAGAGAATAACTATAAACATCCGCTGCAGCTCTGATATTGTTCATTTTGGGTTTTGTTTGGTACAATATCGTAAAGTGTAAATGTTACTGTCTTCATGCAGTTCATTAGTGAGTTTCTAACTAAAGACATTAATGAATCTCCTTCATTTCTTTATATTTTATGTATAAAGTGTATCTGCAGTTTAGGTTCAACTCAAATGTGTCTGACTCCTTTCTGACCTGTAAACCTGCTGCTGGGACACACTGGGAGTCTGTGGG